GGGTGAGGGGGCAAGTGTGAACATCTTGGTGTTTATCTGCGGATTGGATTCTAGACACTGTTTTGTCTATGAGCCCAGGCGATACTATTCATAGCAAGTTTAAGTTTCCTTACCCAGATGAGTGGGGAGGTGTCTCACATCAGCTACAGAAAATAAAGATGCCTATTTAGAAACCACTGCTCAAAGCAAGATCATGAAAATTTGTAACTCTGTTTCCTTCTAAAGTTTTTTATATTTTTAGTGCTTGTGTGTAGGTCTTTGATCCATTGTGAGCTCACTTATTCCACATAGGGTGAGATAAAGGTCCAGATTCATTCTTTGCATGCAAATTTCCAGTTCTTGCCATGCAGAGACCACACCATTTCTGGTTGTCTTCACAATCAGTTAGGAAAAAAGAGGAGGTAAGATGAAAATGTCGTCTGATACTCTAACGGTGTTCTTTATATCTTCATGTAGATTTGAATTCGTTTAGTATGCTTTTATTTAAGCCTGAAAGACTCCCTCCAGCATTGCTTGCAGAAATAGCCCCACTAGTAGTGAACTATTTCAGTTTCTGTCTATATGAAATGTCAGTTTATTTGGAAGGATGGCATTGCTGGGTATAGAACTCTTGGCTGATAGTCCCTGGCTCCCTCCATCCAGCACTCCATCCCACTGCCTTCTGTTCTCCATGGAGTCTGATGAGTAGTTAACTGTTCACATTGTTGAGGGACATTTTACAGGATGAGTTGCTTCCTTCTCGCTAGCTTCAAGGTTCTCTAATTGTATTTGACTTTTGACAATTTCATTACTATGTATCTGGGGATTTTAAAGAAATCCCCAGCTTATTTTATTTGGAGTTTTTTGAGATTCTTGGATGTATAAATAAAAGTTGACTCATCAACTTTGGTTAAGTTTTCAGTCACTGTTCCTTCAAATATTCTTTCTTATTTTTCTTGGGCATCTGGTTTTGGGACCCCCCTTATGCATATGTGGGTACACTTGGTCTTGTTTCACAGGTCTCTTTGGCTATGTTCATTTCCATTCCTTAAGTTGCTTGATTCCAGTTGACATCTCCAAATTCGACAATTCTTTTGCCCGACCAAATGTATTGTTGAGGCACTCTAATGACATTTAAAATATTAGCTATTGTATTTTCAAATTCAGAATTTTTACTTGGTTCCTCTTTTTATGAGTTCTATTCTCTATTTGATGAGTTCTATTCTCTGTTCTCATGGTTTCCTTTAATCCTTAGATAAAGTTTACTCTAGCTCTGAACATACTAGCTGATCAAAAAATCGTTCTCTAGTAAGCTTAATCTCAACTTCCTCAGTGACAGTTTCCTCTTCTTCCCCCAGTTATGGGCCATCTATTCTTATTTCTATGCATGCCTCATCAATTTTTTTTGTTACTGTTGAAAACTGAACATTTTAAATATAAAAATCAGAATCAGATTATTATTATTAAATCTAGAAATCAGATTATTCCCTCCTTTAAGGCTTTATTTTTGTTGTTGCTGCTTATTGTAGTTGTCTAGTAACTTTCTTGTCCCAATTTTGCAGACTATTTTCCTAACTGTGTGTGAGCCCTCAAGGCTCTGTTCTGTTAGCTTAGTAGTCATCTATGACCAGACAGAGACTTCCCTCTAAGCTTGATACAGAAACACCTTCTAGTCATTACAGATGGCTTTGTGTATGTCTTGGGGCACACTGTTCACATTCAACTAAGCAGCTTGCAAGACTGCCTTTGCCTTCACTTCCTGCTTGCAAAGAACCTGCTTGCCCAGAGCCTGTATAAGGGAAGGTCACCAGGGAAGAGAGTTCAGAACCTTCTCACATCTTTCCTGAGCACTGGGAAATGTGTGTAGCCTTCTAGATTGCTAGAAATATTCTAAAGTTTTCCAAAGCAGTTAGCCCCAAATATCTCATTCCCCAGGTTTTCCTTCCAAGAGTTTTGGTTAGTTTATTGTTTGTGCTGGCTGGTATTGATTGTTGCTTTAGCACTGGGTGAATTCCAAGTTAATGGTGATAAAGGCCAGGGTTTCGCAGAGCCCAATCAGGTGAAACAAGTAATTACAGCTTTTTATTATTGAAAAGGTTTCTGCTTGTTTCAGTACAGGTGCTGTACCAAGAATTTAGGTTGTTTATCTTTAAGGCTATTGTTGAGCTAGGGGTCTGGAAAGAGAGACAAGAAAAAGTTAAAGTGCACTTCTCTGATTATCAAGAGCTTTGGCTCATTTCTAGAATTCTGAAAACGTTGATTCTGACAGTTCTTCGTCGCTTTTAGGGAAGGTCATATTTTGTAAGTTCCTTACTTCACCATTTATGTAGCTGACACTACCACACCATGGTGCATTAGGAGACCCTTACACGTTGTGTTTCAAGCTATACTGAACGGAGATCCACCCCCTCGCTGGGTTGAAGAGGGAACTCAGTTGGTTCTGAACACTCAGGAAATGTGACTTTATGATGTGGTTTCATGTTAATTATCTCTGGACATGTGGGCAAGTGAAGTTACCGGAAGCGGACCGAGTATCTCCCCACGCCGAAGGGAGGAGGCTACCTCCACCACTGCACGGACCCTGGCAGCCTACGAATGGAAGCCCTGGAAGCCCTGGAAACACTGCTGGCAGCACAAACATCGGCACGGTCACAGGGATGCGGTGCCCTCCTTGGAGTGGCATGGATGAAGGCCAGGGTTGGCAAACGCCACCCTCTGGGACCAACCTGGCCAACTGCCTGTTGTTGTTAATAGCCTATGAGCTAAGAATGGCTTTTATATCTTAAACAAGCTGAAAAAAATCGAAAGAAGAATATTTTGTCACATGTGAACATTTTATGAAATCAAATGTCACTTGTATGGAATCAAAATGTTTCCTTGGAACATAGCCTCACTCACTCTCTGACCTGCTGTCTGGTGGCTGCTTCCACACAGCAGTGCAGAGCTGAGATACTGTGATAAGAACTGTTGACCTGCAGAGCCCCCGAACCTTATTATTTGACCCTTTACAGAACCAGTGGCTGACCCTTGGCAGGGAGGATTGGGGCCCGAGGAGAACAGAGCAGATGACATGCATAGATGGAGGCTGGCAGCTGGTTTTGAGAACAGGTGAGGCGGCACAGCCTGAGAATTCCCTGCACAGGAGCCTGTATCATGCTTGATTAAGATCAGGGGGGCAGGGGAGACAAGAGTGGGAAATGTGAGTTTGTGATGTTAACCAATTCATCTCCACTGGGTGATGGGATATGAGGGTTTGGGTTTATTCCCATGCACACTTTTGTGGGAGAACCATCCGCTCCATTCTGCCAGTGGGCAATGGCACGAACGGCGATCCTGATGGAAAATACAGTTCCCTGAGCTTGGATGCTGACTTCATCTTCCAGCCACGTCTTGGAGTGGGTCACACCAGGCACCCCCTCATCCAGGGAGGTCACACAGGGACATCATCTGGGCTTGACTGTGCTGCAGAGGGTCCCTTCCTCAAAGGCAGACCCAACCCTGGAAGGCCACATTGTGTGGGTGAGCTGCTGAGGGAAGCCCAGATAGCCTCGGAGTCCCTAGTTCTGCCCTGAGTGGGAAAGCCCTGAGGCAGACCCTTCCCACCCTCACTTCCACTCACTCTCTTCTTCCTCCCCACGCCTGCCTGGTCCCGGCTCCCTTAGGCTGACACCAGGCCCCTTTACATATAGCCTTTGACCAGAGGAGTGGTGAAGGCTCATCTTGGTTTCCTCATGGGTTCTTTAAGCCACTGGCACCTGCACACCTGTGTAGTGAGAAGCCCCTGCCCTTAGCCTCTGGGAGGTAATCCTCAGCCCTTGGAACGTCATGCTTGACCAGAGTGTCTTTGTCTGGGTGGTGTCCCGGGGTCAGGCAGGTAGTAATCATGTGGTTTTGGATGAGGCCTCGGCTCATGAACCAGCAACCTGACCTACTGAGTGACCGGGAGGTAAGCGCAGCCTCGGCAGCCGCCAGCCCAGTGTGTGTGGCTGACTTCCCGAGAACAGTGGGCACTGAGGCTCACATGGTCACATGCTGAGCCCAGGGCACTCCCAGGAAACTCTGGAAGCCCTGCATCTGGAACCATCTAAGACTGTCCTCTGTCTGCGCTCCTTGACTGATTTGAATCATTATTCTTTAGGTGTTATAAAACATAACTTAAGGAGAAAAGCTTTTCGTGAGTTTTGTGAGTACTTCCAGCAAATACTTGAACCTAAGGGTCAATTTGCTGTTGGTGGCAGAGGTGAGGGTGGTCTTGTGGACCCCTCACATTCTGCAGCTGTCTGACCTTCAGAGCATCCACCGGCAATAGCGCCAGGAGATCCAGGAAGCCCCACGCTGTCTTGATCCTGGCCAGCCCGGTCAGGAGACCCCAAGGAACCGCCTGTTCACTGGAGGCCAATGCATCGGAGGTCCATAGGCTTTGCTATAAAGACTGGGAGAGATTCTGCACCCCAAGATTTCAAAAATATAAGGGAGGATCAATGAAAAAGTTAAACACTATATTCTGAAATGAGCAATGAGCCTTACACATACAATGAAATTAAGTGTCACATTAAATACACTCTCTCTCTCGGTATATAGATACTTGAAACTAGGTAACTAGTGAAACTCTTAGCCATGGGGTAGAAGCCGGCCATTAAGGAAAGTTTCCTGTGTCATATACTATTTTGGCTGTTTTGAATGGCCTATTTTATTTAATCTTTAGAACAATGGTACGTGGCGCGTGCTCTAACTAATTGACAGGTGGGTAGGGTGAGGTTCAGAGCGCTTGTCCAAGGTCACACAGCCCTGAAGGCCTAGAGCCGGAGTTGAGTGCGGCCAGTCGCACATGGGTCCTGTCCTCTTGCCACTTTCCTTCCTGCTATGGGTCTGGCTGGGCCAGGCTGGCACTCAGTGACGGCTGTTCCCTGGCGCTCACTCCCTCCGGCGACTGTAATCATTAACTCCTGCGGGAGCCCCGGAGACAACGCGACAGGGCTCTACTTCTGCTCAAGCACACGCAGTACAGCTGAAGTCCTGAGATGGAGAGAGGTCAGGCGAGAGATGGCGGGGAGGGGGCCGCAGGGCGGGAGCCAGATGGCGGGCTGAGGCTGAGGAGGAAGAGGGGCCTGTGGGCGCCGTGCCGCTGATCACCGGCTGCACGATCGGCTCAGGCATCTTCATGTCGCCACAGGGGGTCTTGATCCACACAGGCAGCCCCGGAGCCAGCCTAGTGGTCTGGGCCGCCTGTGGCCTCCTGGTCATGCTGGGTGCCCTGTGCTACGCTGAGCTGGGGACCCTGGTTCCTGAATCCGGGAGGGGAGTACACCTACATCCTGCGAAACTTTGGCCCCCTGCCAGCCTTCCTGGTCATCTACTCGTTCGTGCTGGTGGGCCGACCAGCCACCATCACCGCTGTCTCGCTCAGCTTCGCGGAGAACGTTGCGGCTCCCTTTTATCCCGGCTGCTCCTCGCTGCCCCAGGCCGTGGTCAAGGGGATGGCAGCCGCCTGCATCCTGCTTCTGATGCTGGTCAACTGCAGGAGCACACAGCTGGGCACCGCGCTGATGAACATATGCATGGCCGCCAAAGCGTTGTCCTTGCTGGTCATCGTGGGGGACGGGGCTGTGGTGCTGGGCCAGGGCCGTGGCCGCACAGAAGGCCTTCTGTCCGCCTTCCACAACACGACGCTGTGGGCCGGGCACATCGGCATGGCCTTCTACCAGGCTCTGTGGTCCTTTGACGACTGGAACAGTCTCAATTAAGTGATGGAGGAGCTCAAGAGTCCAGACATGAGTCCACGGTGCTTCTTGGGGGTGGGAAGGGTTGCAATCTCCCAGTACCAGCTACTGTGACTTGAGCTGGGGCCATGGGAAATCTGCTAAAAAGCAGACTCGCTTCCTGCATTCATGGGCTCTGAATGCCAGGGCCGGGCCTTCCCTAGTTAAGTTATGGAATTGCAGAAACGGTAAGTCCTCCGGTAAGCACAGAACTGGATGGCTGCATTCGGGTGAATGGTGGGGTGTGCGCTGGCTGGCTCTGGGTGTGATGGGGACACAGCCCGGTGAGCCAAGCTCCTGTGCCGTGGAACTGGGATCTTCCTGCAGCGGATCAGAGAGTTGATATTCCAGGCTCTGTGGGTGTTATGTGTGCTGGGACGGCTCAGCCTGGTTTTAGCAGGAAAAGAGACCGATACAAGCTGGTGAGACCGTGTCCCCAGAAAAGTTTATTGACAGAAAGAAGCCGCAGGCTGGACTTGGTCCACTGCCTGTAGTTTGCTCGTCTCTGCTGGGTAGAGAGTATTTTTGACAAATATGGGTTTCTAAGCAAAAATAAAAGCATTCCTTTGAATCTGGGCATTTGCGATTCTGGCTCCCACTCCGATCACACCACACGGTAGGTGTAGCTTTGGCTCACGGGTTTTTCAAGAAACCACAGAGCCTGTGCCAAAACCAGAGCCAGCCCATGCATGCGCTCCCCGGGGTGTGAGTGAAGGAATAAGGAACTCGAGGATGAAAGCAGGAAATAGCACAGCTCTTGGGGCGTCTTGGCCAGAAACCTGTTTCTGGTGTGACTTGGGGCTTGGCAACCACCTCAGCTCTTTATGTGGTGGGTGGGTGGCCCAGGTGGGGCAGGGTGAGAAGCAGGCTGGGTCCCTACTCCCTGGCTCAGTGTGGGCTGGGTTGTGCGGTGGGTGCTCTCCTTGCTGAGGACACCCACAATGTGTGCCCGGGGCTCCCCTCCACCGGCCCATGTTTACTACAGGCTTCGTCTGGGCCTCCGGACTGGCTTGGTGGGACTGAGCTGCTGTGGCTGGGGTAATCTCCACTGTCCCGAGTCCCCAGATTGTAGAACTGGAGGTGACCCAAAAAGGAGTCTTGTAGGGTAGCTGTGGTTGCTCATTTTGGGCATCCCAGGAGCCCGGCTTTCAGTGCTAACGCCCAGCAAGTCCCAAGCGAACTGGGATGCAGAGGCTTCCCTGCCTGGCGCCTGTCCTGAGAGGACAGCCTGACGGGGTGTGCAAGAGGCTCGGATGCAGCAAACTCTCTAGGTGCTTCTTCCACGTGCTGCTGGAGCCCAGGGAAGGGCGACTTCCCTGCGCGGGGCAGGGAAAGAGGAGGGCTGGGTCCGAGCCTCAAAGAACTGATGTGGTTTGGGCAAAACAGTCGTGAAGCAGCAGTGTGAACAGGAACCGAGCCCAAAAACACACAGGGTATGTTTCTATTTCAAGAAACACAAGGGGCCGAGGACCCCCAGGGCTGAGGCTGGCCACAAGGCCTGAAGCGGATCTGAGGTGGCTGCTGCGTCCTCCATGTTCCTTCCCTCCCATGACATCTCCGGGGTTTTCTGTTGAAGAGCTCGGCCCTGGCACAGCTCTGCAGCTTGCTTTGAAAGAACCACGCTCTGTGGCGCAGGGGCCGATGCTTAAATGGGGGAGACCCTGGTGTTTGGGGAGGAGGCCTGTCTAGGACCGGGGTGTAGCCCTGCCCCCCACCTGGGACACCTCTAGGTCAAGCTCTGTGGGAACGCCTGATCCCGGTAAGCAGCAGTAACAGCAACCCCATGACCGGGAGCACTGTCTGGTAGTTGCTAGAACATGGCTGAGAGGACAGGCTGGAGCAGGCGCTTGCCTGCCTCTCCCAAAGTAAGCCAGGTGACCAGTGGAGAAAGCCCTCGGGGCCCGCGGGTGCTGAGGACAGGCTTCTGTGAGGCTGAAGTCACCCCCGGAGGCCCGGCCTGGCGGGGACTGCTGGCCAAGTGCTGGGTCCTGAGCGAGGCCTCTCGCTTCCTTCGCTCCTGGCCCCAGGTGATGTCCAGGGTTGGGGTGCTGCGTGGGAGGGAGCAGCGCACTCTGATTTTGCTGGGTTTCCCTTCGTCCTCTGTCACCAGAGTCCTGCTCACTGGCGGGGTGATGCGGCCCCCTCGGGGGCTGGGGCTCTCCCCAGTGCAGACCCGCCCAAGGGTGCACAGCCTGTTTCCGTCTGGCTCGCCCTCCGCTCTCTGCTCCTCACACTTTGCAGAGAAGCAGGGCAGTGGGAAGTCCTATTTTTTTTTTTTAAAGATTTATTTATTTATTCATACAGAACTGGGATACAGGCCAGAGATGCGGAGGGTGAGAGGATTCACCAGGGACAGAGTGGGGAGCAGAACAGGCAGATCAACGAAGAACACTGCTGAGAGGAGCAGTGGACGGGTCAGGAGAGGTCTGCTGCGCCATGTGGTCACCTCCCGGGCAGGCGGGGATCGAACTCATGCGGAAGTGGCTTTAGCTTCTCAGTGCTGTGCTTTAACCCGCTGCGCCACCAGGGAGGGCCCGGGAAGTCCTATTTTATAGATCTCCATGGCTTTCCAATTTCCAGCCAAGAGTGGGGTCAGTGTAGAACGCCACGTGATGACCTTCGGTCTGGCCTGAGTCTGGAGAACTCAGTCTAGGCGGGGTTGGTGTGGCGGGCCCTGGCATCTTCCAGCTGGCTTGACCTGCAGATCACTGACTGTGGCCATATTTGACCTTCCTGTCCAGCTGGGAGTGCCTCTCTCGCTCACCCCCACTCCCCCACCCCCGGCCAGAGTCTCTTCCTTTCTTCACGGGGGCTCCCGCACAGCGCCCTGCTCATCCCGGAGGCTCCGCTCATGGCCTCTTTCCCCTCCCCACCACGCCAGCCCCTTTGCCTCTGCTTTGCCTGGTTAGCACTGCTCAGGGGCTCTGAGCTCTGCCTGCGTGGCGGGCTGGGGCGGAGCGAGGCGGAGGAGCCCACAGCCCGAGTGTCCTGCAGGCCTGGCTCATGCCCTGCAGCCAGGATGAGCTGAGCCCCACGCTGCTCACCTCCTCCTGGGGACCCGAGAACCAAGCGCCCGCAACACGTGCCTCTCTCCACCTGCTGCAGAAGCTGGCGTGGGCGTTGATGATCTCCATCCCGAGGTCACCGGCCTGTACCTCCTGGTCAACATCAGCTACATGCTCGCGCTGGCACCCACTGAGATCCTGTCCTCAGACACCATGGCTGTGAGCTGGGGGTGAGTCCCGCACTGTGCTCCTGGGCCAGGAGCGCATTTCACCTTCTTTCAGCTGCGTCTTCCGCTCTGTATCGCGGGGGCCTGAGGCCGTCTTCCAAGTCCCCTCCCTGGACCTCTGCTGTCCTAGGAACCAGGTTCTGGGAGCCTGGGCCTGGCTGGTGCCCTTGGCTGTTGCACTCTCGACGTTCGGCTCAGCCAACGGGACGTTCTTCAGCGGAAGTCGTGTGTGCTGCGTGGCTGCCAGAGAGGGCCACTTGGTGAGCAGTGGGGTCTGGACTGGGCAAGGCCAGGATGTACAGGCCAGTGACCGGGGAGACGGTGGGGCTGTAGGAGGGGTGCCTCGGTGTGGGCTGCACTCCCGTCACAGGTGGCGGGGTGCAAGGCACCCCTGTGTTTGTGATGGCATCTGCTCATCTTTCATTGTCATGAGTGGGAGATCACATTACTCCCCTAGATGAGGGGAGAGGGAGGCTGAATATTTGCTGAGCCCCATAATCCAACACCCCCAGCCCCCACAGTCCGTCCACATCTGTTCCATCCTCCCCCTCCCACCCCTCGTGCCCACCCCCTGCTGGCTCCTCTTCCTGTCCTGGGATGGAGCATGAGACAGTGGAGCGACCTGGCCAGACACCTGCTGTGCTCCAGTCCCACATCCTAGACCGCTGGGTGTCAGCTGGCTTGGCGGGGCTGGGCCCCCACCTGCGCCCCGAGCTTGGTTGCTCGTGAACCACAGAGATAGCCATCTGGAAGCCACTGGACTCGCAACGACAGAGCTGGGCACCCTGGTGTCCAGTGCGCCCGGGCAGAGGCCCACTGGGCTCGCCTGGCTTTGCTTCCCAGCCGCAGATCCTGGCCATGGTGCACTCGCGTCGCCTCACGCCTGTGCCAGCCCGCGTTCACCGCGGCGCTGGCGCTGGTCCTGGTCATCCAAGGCAACTTCAGCACCATCATAAACTTCTTGAGGCAAGTGAGACTGCCGCCCCAGGCTGGGTGTTGCATGGCCTGCGTCCTCACACAGACACGCGCGTGTGTGTGCAAACATGTGCACACATACCTGAAGCCCACGTGCACACACTCACACCCGTGTGGACATTCAGATGTAGCCGTGTGTCGCTCAGCACGGGGTTGTATTCTAAGCGTTAGAGGGACTTCTCCTGGAACTGCATCAGCCACCCAGCACACACCTGGGAGAGCAGGGCCGGGGTGGCTGGGTGCTCAGGACGGTCTGACAGGACACTCCCCTGGGGGCCTGCCATGAGCATGCAGGTCCCCGAGAGAGCACAGGCTTCCTGGGGTCTCTCCAGATGTCCCTCCCTCCTGATGAGAACCATCCTCCCTTCTAGTCAGGGGCAGTCCGTGCAGGCCTGAGCTGGGAACACGGGAGTGGCTGGGCTGGGCGGGTGCCACTCTGTGCCAGAAGATCAAGGAGGCAGGAACAGACTGGTATTGAGTCCACACCTCCTCGTCCTCAGTGCCCCAGTCTCGCCTTCTCTCCTAGTCTGCACAGAGCCTGCTGGGGGTGAGGACGGGGCTGGGGTGGCCCAAGGTCTTGGGTGGGCCTGGGCCGCTGCCCCCGGCTTGCGCCTCCTGGGCGGCCCCTCGCAGGGGTGCAGCTTCTCGGGGCCTGTGGTGAGCGGCTCTTGTCTGCCCTCCAGTCTCCTTGGCTGGCTCACCTACAGCACCGCCATCAGCTGTCTCCTGTACTTGCGGATGAAGAAGGATGTTCCCCGACCTTACAAGGTAGACTTGGGCCACATGGGGCTTTTTCTACTGTTCATGAAGCCGATGTGGGGTCACAGCCTTTGTCCCCTGAGGACCCCCGAGGGAGAACAGGGGAGACAAGTGCCAGGAGGTTGCACATATACACCAGGAGTCACAAAGCAGAGAGCTCAGCTGGCCCCCAGACGCTCCCTGGAGCCCTGCAACTGGCCCACTGGCCAGACAAGGCATCATGGCAGGAGCTGGGAGAGGCAGGCTGGTGGCAAGTGGAAGTGACAGGGAAGCAGGCAGGAGGGATGGAGCCCAGCGCCCTGTGGCCCCTTCATCGTCAGGGTCTCTGCCCCTGCGGGTCCCCACCATCATCCCTGTCGTGACGCTCCTCGCTTTTGCCTATCTGGTGCTGGCACCCATCATCGACCGCCCCAAGATGGAATTCCTGTACCTCGTCCTGTTCCTGCTGAGCGGCTTCCTGGTCTACTTCCTGTTTGCCTACTGCCATTGCCAGCCCAGGTGCCTGCAGGTGGCCACCCTGCATCTCCAGCTGCTCCTGGAAGTTGCTCCCAGCACTAAAAATGTTGATTGAGGGCCGGAGAGGTTCTCTGCAGCTTCTCTGCTGTCCTATGCCCCACATGTGGCTTGGCAGCTTCTCGGTCCGCTATGAAAAATTCTAGTCAGTTCTTAAAGTGTCCAACACAGCTAGGGCCCTCCCCCCCGACCCTCCAGCCCCAGGAAAGCGCCCACCCCTTCTCTCAGATCTGCTCAGTGCAGGCGGGTCTCAGAGACACACAGGAGTTACCTGACCGCCTCGTGGGTCAAGCTGTCTGACAGCAATTTGTAACCCAGGCGGGTGCCCTGAAATACCTTCCCTTTTGGGATTTAGGAATCAGAATTCTGGTGGTTGCTTGCCTGGGCTGTTGTAAATCCTGTGCAGTCCCAAGCTTCTCTTCTGTCATGTGGCAGAGAAGCAGAGAAAGCCACTGTGGAGAGAAGACAGAAGACCGTGCAGGGTGGGAGGGCCGAGAAGCGTGTGACCTTGAGTTGGGGGGCACCATCGGAAAGGTCCGATGCTGTGACCCCGGCTGTTTCTCGGCTCTGGTCTCCATCCTTTTAAGCCAAGAGCCATGTGACGCTCCTTCCTGCTTTCCGATTACCTGGGGGCAATCTGACGTCTTACAATAAATTTCTCATGTTGGCTCAAGTGAGTTTGCGTGGGTTCTTGTATCTTGCAACTAGTGAAACTGTGGCTCTCAGAAGCTTCTTGCTCAGAAAGACAAGATACTTTCATTATAGGTTCAAGCTGCCGACTTGCTACAGCAGGCAAAGAAGCAAGAGATACAGGCAGGGATTTACCGGTTTTGGGTAAGAAGGAAAGGCAGGCAGCGTCCAGAAGGATGAAAGGTTGGGACCGAGCCCAGAAGCTGATGTGGTATCGGGACTAACTGGAGACCAGGAGGCCGCGACCTGGCTGTCCAGGTGGGTGTGTGTGGCAGGACAGAGTGACCACAGGCCTAGGAAGGCTGGGAGTCGGCCCCCAGTACCGCTGGGGGAGAGGTAGGGATGCGAGTGAGCGGGCGGAGGGGCCAAGGATGTCTGGACTGGGGGAACTGGACCTGGGGCCTGAGTGTGACCCCTCCTTTTGTCAGTGAGCACGCCCAGAGGGGAGTGCCTGAGAGACACAGGGCTTCCCGGGGCTGTCTGCCCCTAGAGGTCCCCTCACACCAGTCAGCTCTCAGGTCTCTGAACCAACTGGGGTCCAACAACGTGATCCAGGTCTCAGCCTCTGCAGTCAGACCAGGCCCCACGGACTAAGGGGTCCAGCCCCACAAAACTAGCCTCACTATAGACACACCAGTCACAAGTACCAGGTCACCCACACTCCTGTTTGATCTGGCGGCAAGACCCCTATCCCTGATCCAGTTGAATCACTTGTCAAAACAACTCAAGGACATACAGAGCTCAGAAAGATGATCTATGGTCACTGATTTATTATAAAGCCAGATGGAATCCATGTGCCAGGTGAGGAGGGGCGGGGTGGGGTGGGGAGAAGGGGGGAGCGGGGCGAGGAGTCGAGTCCACACGCTTCTCCCAGCCCCTCCATGTGGTCACCAACCTGGAAGTCGTCTAATCCCTTTTGGGACTTTTGTGGGTATTCTTTACTGCCACACACTTACAGAGAAAAAAATGCGAGCGTCACTTAAGAAATCTTGGAGGAAGCAGTGAAAACTGTTAATTCTGCTATAGCCCCTCCTAGCTGCGGTCGGCACCACCCACGTGCGAACTAGGTTAATATGGAGGAGGGCTCGTACTGCTATTTTAAGGGAGTTCATTAATACATGTTTAAAAAAATCTCAATTTTCTTTTCTGCCGTAGCTAAATATTCATAGCGACAGTGCACACAAACAAAAGTTCTCCAGCGTCCTCAGAGAACAACTGTTAAGAGCTGTTAGAAGACAAGGGCCTTGCTGCCGGCTCGTGTGTGGCGGGAGCCAGCCCGCGAGGAAGTCAGCGGGCCCAGGAGCAGCGGTGCAGTCACACACCTGGGCTGGATTCCGGGGCAGTAGCCCGCAGCCCGGGGGCATTTTCCAGAAAGCTATAAAGCTGTCTCCTGCTTCAGTCACTCAGGCTGGGTGGCCACGTGTGCCCCAGGGCACCAACCTGGGCCGCCTCTGCCTGGCGGGCTGGCCTGGGTCTCTGTCCTTGGCCCTCCAGAGGGGACTCCCTGGGCATAGCTTATTCGCTTGGTTTTGTCTCCCCACGACACACATGAGGGCAGGGGCGGCTTGCCACAGGCTTTCCTCCTGGAGGCATGAAAATCCTTGCTTTACTTTTCTGACTTCTACGCTGCTGCCAAGTGCGACTATTTGCTCCTTTGAAATTGAATTCTCGATTGTGATATGGTTTATGAAGAAACATATTTGCTGGTTAGTTTTTCATTCCTATTAACAAAAACTAATATTGGCCCTCCCTGGTGGCGCAGCGGGTTAAAGCACAGCACTAAGAAGCTGAAGCCACTTCAGCATGAGTTCGATCCCCACCCTGGAGGTGACCACATGGCGCGGCAGACCTCTCCTGACCCGCCCGCTGCTCCCCTCAGCAGTGTACTTCATCGATCTGCCTGTTCTGCTCCCTTCTCTGTCTCTGGTGAATCTTCTCACCCCCTGCTTCTCTGGCCTGTACCCCAGTTCTGTATGAATAAATAAATCTTAAAAAAAAACAACTAGCATCTTTAAGATATCTTTGGGGTTTTTACAGGAGCTCCATTTGGTAGAGCTGATCAAAGCCTTATCAGGATGGAGCTCAATCTCTAGCACCTCTCTGCCCCTCTGGGGCGGGCTGAATGTTCCAGTCTGCCAATCACATGGGTGGGCGGGTGGCCAGACCTTGAGGCTGTCCAGGCTCCCCTTCCCGGTCACCTCCTTATAAAGACAACGATCTGATGTTTTGGGAATTGTGCACCAGGAAGGGGGGACATTTACATTTTTTACGTCTCATGCCCCTGGGCCTGTCTTCCCTGGGCTGTGAGGCCCTGCTCTGAGCAGGTGCCCTCAGGAAGAGGCATCTGCCCATCTCAGCAATGTCCCTCCAGCGGGCAGTCGGGGAGCACTTGGAAGCAGAAAGCACAATGGGGACTTGGCCCTGCCTCTTGCACCCTGATGTGCTGTCTCAATTTGGGGTTCAGGCTTCTCATTCTCCCCACTAGCCGCTGTCCAGGGTGAGGTGGAAGGTCCTCCAGCGGGGGTCTGGCCGTTCCCTGGCATGGCTTCCCAGGCTCCCGTCCTGCCCCAGCCCCTTCCCAGGGAGCAAGAGGGGCTTCATAATTAATACACCGGACTTGTCCTAAGTAACCATGGTTTCCATGGTTACTTTTCTTCCATAAATTCAGAGATGACAGTAAGCATTATGGGAAAAAAATGTTTTGAGGGCCCTCCCTGGTGTTGCAATGGGTTAAAGAGCAGCACTAAGAAGCTCTCACAGCCACTGCAGTGTCCCCCGGCCCGGGAGTGACCCGCATGGCGCAGCTGACCTGTCCTGCCCGTCGCTGCTCCCCTCAGCAGTGCATTTCAGTACGTCTGCCTGTTCTGCTCCTCACTCCGTCTCTCACGAATCCTCTTACTCCCGGGCAACTCTGGCCTGTACCCCAGTTCTTGTATGCCTCGATAAAGCAATCTTTAAAAAAAAGAAAGGAAGAAAGAAAGTGTTCTGAATCTTGGGAACAGGTCCAAACATTCTCAATGTGCCCTCGAAAGGAGCAGTATGTTCCGGAAACTAAGTGGGGCAGCTGTGGGCTGGCCTCCTGGGTGGCAGGCAAGTTCTTTCCATCAGAGAGCAACTTTGAGCATCCAGATGTTTCAGTTTCGGGCAAAGCCTGGTTACTCTGTCATAAGTGCTTCCCTCTGGCCATCTACACGGTCTTCTGCAGGGCAGTCAGAGTTGGGTCTCCCCGATTTATCCATGCACATGAGTGCCCTGAGTATGATTTCAAGTACCACAAAGGATAGGGAATGAAAATCACTTTGCTACTTCACATGCTCATTTCCACAGCAATCAGATTCCTTGCTTCCTTCCAGAAACTTAGTCTGGACAGTTAAGTACACCAGTGAGGTGCCCACTGCTGTCTTGCTCTTGGGGGGACTCACCACCTATCTGGTTCCACCTGTTTCAGGAAGCAGTTCTCCTTTGTCTCCATCCCCACATCGGGCCGAGTCCTCTGCTCTGATGGCCATTACTGCTGCCCACCACCTTTCCCTGGTTCTTTTCTGGGCTGGAGGTGGGATTGCATTTTCCTTTGGAGTTAGTCGGGGTTTCCCCTTCCTCTGGACAAAAACGGAAACACTGGCTCCTGTAGGTAACAAGCTGGTTGACTTTCAGGCTAGAATCACACTATTGTTTCCTGGGTCTCCAGCTTGCTAACTGAGTATCTTGGGACTTCTCAGCCTCCCTAGTCATGTAAGGCATCTCCATACCCATGAAACACACATATACAGACAGAGACTTACTAGGATAAGCTATAGACATATAGATTCAAGAGTATATCCATTTCCTATTTGCTCTGTTCCTCTGGAAAATCCTGACTGATTAGTCACTTTGGACCTTGTGAAAAATATGCACATTTTCTTTGGCCCTAATCAAACTCACTGGATCATTAACTCTTGTCATGGGGCTCAACAGTCTAATTTCAACAAGCTCTGCTGGTAGTTCTGATGATCCTTCGAGGTGGAAAACGGCTGCTCTAAAAATGAACGGTGGGGATAGGAGTGTGCGTGAGACACTTGGCCAAGCTCTCTCATCTGCTCCTGAGTTATTCTTGGGTTTCACTGAGCATTCAGTTTGATTTCATTATCCTATAAATGGGTCTTCAACATTTGGACTTGGAAACAGCCTGGACGGGGGGCTGGGGGCGAGAAGCGGGAGACGAGAGGGACCCAGACCTCCCCTGTCCACTTCCATGGACTGAGGACCGACATATTTCCGCAGTAATTTGGGCTGGCACCGGATTTTAAGTCACTGGGACACGGTACTAGTCAGGGGTGTCCAGAAAACCAGAATCAATGCATAGAGACATATAGGATGAGATTTAACCATGAGATTGGCACATACGATTAAGGAGGCAGAAGCACCACAAGCTACTTCTGGGAAGCCCAGAAAAGCAGGTGATGTCATTCCAGTCCAAACTCACAGGCCTGAGAACCAGAGGAATTAACAGGCTAAGTCCCAGCCTGTGTCCAAAGGTCCATGGACCCAGAGCGCCAGGGCCCGAGGGCCAGAGAAGACAGAAGACCCAATTGGGCAAAGAGCAACTTCAGCTGTCTCCATCTTTGTACCCAGCGTAACCTCACTGGATTGGATGTCAGCACGGTGCTCAGTCAGACTCAATGCTCATCATTTTTAGAAGCACCCTCACAGGCATACCCAGAAATACTACTCAGCAGCTGAGTGGGTGTCCCTTCACCAGTCCATAGCTACTCTGCTCTTCTCTTCTCTGTTCCCCTGTTCTGGGTCTAAAAGATTGCATTGCCCTGTCCGAGGCACCTGGAATTCTTGATGCTTCTCCCAATGCAGAACCTTTTTGGGCAAGCATGTATACCTGTGTGCCTCGGTTTCTTCACCTGTTAAACAGGGGGTTAAGCCTTGCTTCATAGGGAAGTTGCAAGGGTAGGGGATAGGGAAATGTTGGATGTTGGGGGCTTCTGAGGACTAAGCACATGGAAATCTTGGGCTTGTTTAAATGACATGTGTACCCCCTGCTGGCGGTCACTATATCTGGGCATCATCTGTAATCAGGGGGCTGTGCCAGGCCCACACCCCTGCCCACACAGAGGGCCTCTGTCGTGGGCCCCGGCTGCAGCCACCAGCACCTGCACCACTTGGGCCTTATGAGCTGCAAGTCGTATGGTGGTGGAGGGGTCAGGGTGGGAAGAGCCGCTCGGCTCCATGGAGTCCGTGGCCCAGCCCAGCAGGAGAACACGATGCAGCCCCCGGGGCTCTGGAGTGAGGCCAGGCCCTACGGGGTAGAGCCACAATGTCTGGCAGGTTTCAGGGCCCTGAACGGCAAACCTCCTGGACGTGGGACTCCAAGTGACCGGGCAGCCGAAAGTACCCATCAGATACCCCAAATGAGGTGGACCAGACACAGCAACAACCCATGGTGAGGGGGAGGGTACATGGGGGCTGGTATGGGCAAGACCAGGGGCCCTCTAGGGGGTGGCGCAGAACCTGTAACCCCCCAGGGGCCCCGTGTCCTTCCGTGAGCTCCTGGTTCTGGCTGGGGGGAGCCCCTCACCACTAGCTGAGGAAGAGCCGTCCTGGGTAGTTTCATGGGCACCAGCTGGGGACAAACGGGACCTGGACAACCTGTAAACAGGGCAGTTCGGGCATCATTCATTTCCCACTTCTGCATTCGTTTTACTCAGTCTCTCTCCTAAAGCACCTGTGGTTAGGACCGGGCCCTTCCTGCCTGCCCTCAACGCTTTGAAGTGTTCTCTCCAGTGCATCTCCAGTGCTTACGCCACACCATTTCCATCCATATGTAAACATACTTGTCTCTTTCATCTTATAAAAAAACAAAACAAATGAAAAAAAGAAAGAAAACATAGCTGCACCTCCCCCTGTATCTGAGCTTTTCTCCTCTTTAGAGAGGCTACCTCCCGTCCCAGTGTCTCACCCCGTGATCCTTACCCGATCTCCACACAGGCCTCCATCCTTTCTCTCTCGAAGGCCTTTCGGTTCCTATCTGTCAGGACCCCTTCTCCAGTCCCCACAGCCAGCAGCCGACAGCCCACTCTTTCCTCCTGTCGTGACAGGCACCCACCTCTAAGCAGCAGTCTTCATTCCTGCAGTCCGCTCTCCCAGGCCCACAGCTGCCAGGCTGATCTCTGAGAAACCAATGTGCTGTATTTGTGCGCTTGGACTGCTGTGACTAACATGCCACAGGCTGGGTAGCTGAGCAACAGGAAAGAATTTCGTTACAGTCCGGGAGGCTGGACACCGAGGTCACTGTGCTGTGGGCTTGCTTTCTGGGGCACCTTTCCTCCCCGGCGTCCAGATGTCAGGCCTGTGCGTCCTCACAAGGCCTTTCCTCTGCCTGTGCTCCCTGGCGCTGCCTCTGCTTTGAAGCACACCAGGCCTGGAGGGCTGAGCCCCCCTCCCCCACGTGAGCGCCACTTGTGAGCCCCAGCTTAAGCCTGATCAACTCCGGAAAGGTGGCTCTCTAACACGTGGGGGGCTAGGGCTTCCACAGAGTTTGTGGGGGACACAATTCAGTCCAGTGCTGATGCGCACGCACTTTGTTGCTCTGGGACAGACCAGAACCCTTTACGTGGTCACCAGGGTCCTGCGTGACCTGCTTCTTACCAGTTCTTCAGCCTCAGCTGCTCTGCTCGCCCCTTTGATCTGTTTATTCTTAGTTTCCCACACAGGGAGGCGTCTGCTCTTTCTGGGACCTGAGTACATGCTGTTTCTTCTGCTGGGAACATTCCTTTCAATCCCCTCCCCCACTCTCTTAGCCACCTTATTCCTAAAAACTCAGCTCACACGTCAAGGAGGCTCCCTGCAGCACGCCAGTCAGGGCCCTGGTTCTGTCTTCTCGTGCCTTACTTCTCCCGCGGCAATCACACTGCTGTCATCAGATCTTTAAGCGCAGACTGAGTTGTTAATGCCTCTCGCTTTCCACAGAATGAAAACTGCAGAGCAGCAGGGACCACACCTGCTCGCAGCTGTATGTCCAGCACCTAGCATGATGTAGGTAAGAAGCAGGTTATGTGGTGACCACGTAAAGGGTTCTAGTCTGTCTGAGAGCAACAGAAGTCTGAGCGCATATGCTCTGGACCGAATTGTGTTCCCCACAAATTATGTGGAAGCCCTAGCCCCTTCCCCCAGCCCCCCAGTTTAGAGGTCTACCTTTCAGTAGTTGATCAGCTATTTAAAGAACCCACAATGGTTGATGGTAGATTCCTTCCTGGACTTTCAGGTGAAGAAAAGAACCATTAATTATCAATAATTTAAAGCTCTAGCCTTCCTGCTGTGAATCTCTTTCAAGCCACCTGGCCAGGCTGATAATTATATCATCTTATTTTAGAAATTGCACAGAAAACTCTAAAATCTCAATGGTGAATATTAAATTTCCACTTCTGTCCAAATTTCTGAATCATGGGAAGGCTGAAGTAATTTGCCCCATGCTCCTTTACAACACGACTTCCTTGTGCCCCTAGCATCTTGTCTCCCCACTAAACGCGGCTGGCCTTATAAACTGTCTGGGCCATCAGAACTGGGCAGAGGTGGTGCTATGTGAGTGCCGGGCCTGCCCTCGACAGTGGTTGGACGCCGCCAGGACGCCACGTTAGAAGCTGACTGACGTGCTGGAGCGAAGCAGGGTGACCCAAGTGGGCAGTGAGCACCGACTTCCGGACACTTCTCGGGCTTAATCCTCTGGCTGAAACTAGCCATTAAGCAAGTCCAAGGAGGTCAACAGAGGAACCCACAGAACTGGGAAAATAAATGTTTGCGGCTCGTTTATTACCCAGAAACAAGTGAGTGGAACATCAGTCCCCTGATTTTCACCTGATAAACCCATTTCCCCTTCTCTGAACAGTCATGTCCTCCCCTCTGATTCTCTCACTGACACACTCACTGTGAATCATCAGAACATTCCAGAATGCTGCTATTTCTAACAGTAAGTTCAAAAGAGAACACAGACTGGGCGAGTGATTCACAGCAGAGTCGATCTGCGCTGCGATTCTGGCCGAGTCTGGAAGTCAGGGCCTCATGCCTGGTGATCAGAGACTGCGTTCTGAATGTTCTGAATGGCATCCCCATCCGGCCTCTGGGACGCAGAGCTTCCAGGGCGCCTGCTGGAGGCAGGCACCACACACATCCCTCTGCCCTCAGCTGCAACATCTACACCTGTTGCAGGAAAAAGTCTTTCCCAGGACACAGGTGTGTAGTCTTGAAACTCTTCTGTGAGTAACAATGGCCTTCCCAGTGAAAGCATGAGGCACCCCAGCATCTTTTATAGCAGGAAAAGACTTGGAAAGAATGCAAATATCCAGGGCCCTTCTGGTGGCGCAGAGGGTTGGAGCGCAGCACTGAGAAGCTGGCCGCAGCTGCTTGGGTGTGAGTTTGATCCTTGGCCCCGGAGGTGACCACAGGGCGCGGCAGACCTCTCCTGACCCGCCCACTGCTCCCCTCAGCAGTGTACTTGGCCTACCTTCCTGCTCTGCTATCCACTGTCTCTGGTGAATCCTCTCACCACCGTAAATAAAGTTTATTTATGCATACAGTACTGGGGTACAGGCAGAGATGCAGGGGCAATGAGGGGACTCACCAGAGACAGAGTGGGGAGCAGAAGAGACAGATGGACAAAGTACACTGCTGAGGAGAGCAGCGGGCGGTCAGGAGAGGGCTGCCACGCCAGGGGCTGGGGATTGAACTGGCACCCAAGCTGCTGTGGATAGCTCCACAGTGCTGCGCTCCAAGCCGCTGCACCACCAGGGACGGCCCAATAAATAAATCTTTACAAAGAAAAAAGAATGCAAATGTCCATCACGGGAGAATGGGCACATCATGTACGACATGGAGTAAGAGGTGGGGAGAATGAATGAACTACATGTATTGACCAGCGTGGTCTCAAGAGACATGTTACTGAACGAAACCAGCAAGCTGCAGAAGCTACATAAAGTACGATGGCACCTGTGGAAAATCTGACCCCTCCAAAAGCCAGACACATTCTGCCCATAAATACACACATGGGGGTGTTCGGTAAACAGCCGAGGGCGGACCGCGCAGGAGTCTCTTGGGTATCCAGGGCTAAGGCAAATTCAGGAAACTCAAAGATTGGCAGAGCGGGTGGCAGATATGAGGCCCTCATGCTTGCATTATTTTATGACCCACAATGCAGCATCTCCTGTGCCTGCTCTGTCCCCACCACGTGCATCTTTTCTCCAGTCCTTGTTCTCCCACACTGCAGACTGGCAGCCCACCACGGGGAGGGTGGAGGGAAAGTGACACATTCAAAGAGGACTGAGGCCTGGCCCCTATCTGAGGTGCATGCTTCCTGGAGCGCTGCCTCGGGGAGAGCTGTTTCCTGTGTGGTCCGGAGAGTCAGTGACCGGGCATGAGTGGTCGTGGCAGGACTTCCTGCACCGGCTCTGCCCGGCCTGAGGCCCCAGTGGACCATGGCAGCTGCTGGCTTGGAAATCTTGGGCCCAAGCTTGGTCCCGGGGGGGGCCACCCACACAATGCTGCCGGGGCACAGGAGGGCCTTCTGGCGAGGAGAGGATGCCACTGGGGAGATGGAGGATGAAGGGGCATTTTGGGGGACCGGACATCAAGGAAGTGTGTGGACATGTGTCTTCATAGCCTGAGTTCTGGAGCACTCTGCTGTGCGACCCTTGACTGCGAGGAGCTTGAAAACAGCTGTGACTCTGCACTCCAGCCTCTGGCAGGTGACGTCCGGCTGGGCAGCGGGCTCACTCGGACCTGGTCTCAGTGCTTGCTGGCAGTGCCCCTGGCACGTTGCACGAACTCTCCAGTCTCTGCGTCCTTAGCTCTCCGAGGCGGGACAGTAAGAGCATAACGCAAGCACAACCAGACAGCACCCCTTCTCCTGCGGTTCCCGGTCACTCGGGGAAGACACGAACTCCAAGTGAAAAAGATCTTGACAGGGATAGAAACTTCCCACAGCGGCAGTGAAGGGGAGCTAAGTGCCCAACAGGCAACACCAAGTCCCTACTCACCCTCTACCTGACAAGTCCCCTGAGCCCCACCATCAAGGCAGCTTCTCCCCCAAATCTCTTTTCTCCAGATCTCCTCTCTTACCCCTGCTTCTCTCTGGGCTCCTCTCTGGCCTGTGCAAGTTTTCTTCTGGGAGGCGCTCCAGACTTTATGTTCAAGCAGAGCAGGAATGAAACTCCTCAACCCATCCATAGCTATCAAAGGCAGAAGATGGTACTGGTTCAGGGCATGCTTGTAGACAGATTTCTCAAAGATTTATTTCTGTGTTTATCGCTGTCACGACAGTGGCTGGCTCAGGCTTGCTGTGAGGGTTAGATGAGACAGTGTATTTCAAAGCCTGACACTAACACCGAGGCCCCCGAGCAGCTAGTGATTATTCCTGCTATTCTAATCCTCATTTTGACACTCTCATTCCGAACAACTTACTCACTTTGCTTGAACTCAAGTGCATCAGCCAAAAGTTTAGGAGGAAGTTCTAAGTCCAGTTGTGCAAGAGGTTGTGGAAGGTTCCCCCATTCGGGTGAGTCACCCCGTTCCTCCTACTTGTGACCTGGGACATGGATGTGAAGGGACCTGCGAGCCGCCCTCTCATGCTTCTGGGAGAGCCCCCTCGTCTCCCCTCGACAGCTGGGTAGGTTGCCAGGGTGCTCCCCCTCTGTTCTGGATGGACCTCTGGGTCGGTGCCTCCCAGCAGCCTGGCTCACCTGCTGGGGGGGGCCATCGCAGAGCGGCCTTGTCGCGGGACTTCTAAGCTCCCCTGACTGGGCCTTGGTGAGGCAACCCCGGGGCCTGCTTCCTGACTCGGCCTTGTCCCTAAGAAGGACACAGGCAAAGCCCTCTGTGTTCAGAGGTGGGATCCCAGGATGGCAGCTAGGAAGGAGCCCTGCAGAGAGGGGTGTATGGGCCGCACAGCCTGGCTCTGCGGACACTCGGAGGGAGCCGTTTTCCCAGCTCTGAAGGGCTGTAGATGCAGACTCATGTGCGTCACTCCAGACACAGCTTCCAGGGGCCTGGGGGCTCCCCCTCAGAGCGGTTTCTGTGAGGGAAGGCTGTTCCTCCCAGTCGGTGGGGCCGTGAGCACGGGCTGATGGACATGGGCCACCCTCACTCCGGAGTGGCAGCCGCGCTCCAGAACTGCCCTAGGCACCTGCCGTGTTTCGGGTCATTTAACCAGCCAGGTGGGCTTGAGTGTCAAACTGAGGAGGAGGAGG